GGTTGGTTAACCTTCTATTGGTGGACTATAAAGTGAGTCAAGTCATTTGGGCTAACTCACTAGTACATATACACACAAAAAAATGCAACAATGGATTCGACTGGAATTCGAACTCGACTCTCCGTTTGCTCAATCCGTGCCTCCTAGCCAGTTATGTATCATGCGTGATACACGCTTAGGTTATCATGTATCTTTCGATACATGACTGATGAGGCAGATTTTTCCCACGGTAAGTTGCCATTTCTTTCTTCAGTAGACCAGTTGATATCCAAGACTATAGAACCTCGTTTGTGCTTCTATTTACCCATAGCTGGGGAATAAGAAATGGATTCATACCTTTCCCACGGGTATTAGCTTGGCACTGGATATTCGGAGAGAGTAAACAAAATGGCCGCCTTTATACACGACGGATTGAATATGCTACGTCTTCTGATTGGTTAACCTTCTATTGGTGGACTATTTGGGTTGGCTCACTAGTCTAATGTATCCAAAAATTGTAACAGTAGCATCCTTCAGTAGAACTACATTTCTGTTGCTTCAAGTCCATTCTCCGTCTTTGAGGAAATTCTTTAGCACTCGCTACCATACAGGAGGACAGATATCACGTAACAGTTCAATACTCTTGTCTTTGTTTCTAACGAGTTTTTTTTTCTGTTTCACAATACTATACTTAGATTCGGATTTCAGTGACGCATTTTCTGTCTTCTGTTAGAAAGCTGCCTAGATATTTAAAATTTGGTGTTTGTATGATTTTAGTATATCCGATTTGTAATTTGCATTTTGGGCTCATCCTTTTAGTAAACCCTAAATCAAAAAAAAAAAAAGACGTGTGATACATATGTTACGGTTTTTTGGGTATATAACTAGTGAGCGAGTCAAAATGACTTATTTCCTTTTATAGTCGACCAATAGAAGGTTGACCAATCAGAAGCCGCCCAACACTGTATCCGTCGTGTATAAAGGCGGCCATCTTTGTTTTCCCTCCGGAAGGACCAGAGGCAACTTGTCCGGCAAACATGACAGATGGAAGAACTACGCTCTGCTACTTTGCTGAGATATCCACTGCGAACCTGCACTACGCTTTCCTACTGTCTCCGAAATATTCACTGCCAACCTCTGGATTCTATACTCGAAGACGACCGTCATGAAAATGTCTAACAACATACAAATATAGTTTTAACACGATAAAAAAAATGATAGTATAGATTTACAAAAGATAATACGTGAAATCTTTTTCAAGAGCTGAATAACTTTTTCTTCTTCTATGTGCCGTTTCCCTTCAAAACGTTGCCGATCATGGATCTCCACAACTTCCTGTCCTATGAATTTCGCTTTTTTGTTATCGTTCCTAAATCTTGTCCTGCCATCCACTTGTCTCTTTTTATCTTCAATCTTTTATTATTCTCTCTCCTTAAGTTTTTTTTTCCTCATATTATTTCATATAAAGTAACCCTTGTATCTTAGTAGCTTTATTGCCTTGCTTGAGGTGAAATAATTACAAAAAAAATCATGAGATATTTATTATCGACATTTTCATTACTGAACTAATAGAAAGTTATACTCGTGAACGTTAAAGATCTTCGAATCTCTCTGTAGGAATTCGATAAAAATATCTCATTATTCCAATATTTTTATCTGCTGCTACTAGCATACCAACCCCACTTTCTCTCGTATCGTTGCTTCACTTCCTAAGCGATTACATCTTGCTATTACACCGAATAATCAGAGCCCTGAGGGTCAAAGCTTCTTACAACCATTACTGTTCACAGAGAATGATGACGGTTTTCGAACGATGCGACAAAAATGAGCCAACACTGGAAAGGCAGCCAAATCGAAATGGTTAACAGTAGAACATGCCGGAGGCTAGAATTGGAGCCAATGGATGGAGGTTGGGGCGGGGGGGGATGGGGTGATTTATGGATCTATTTAGAACTTTCAAGCCACTAATGGTTTAAAAGGTGGAAATTTAGAGTAATGCGAAAATTGACATTTCTTATTGAAACGAGAATATCAACATAGAGCTATATAAGGTTCAACACCATGGAGGCTTGACGATTGTCTCGTCTATTAACTCAAGGTGATTATTTGAAAATGGTGCTATTATTTAATCTCAATATTCATGGATAAGAAAACTTGATGCCTGCTCATAGGTCGAAATACTGTAGGTATAGAGATAAATTAGATACGATATATATATATATATATATATATATATATATATATATATATATACAAAGAATAATCACACAGAATTAATCAGAAGTATCAATGCGATTATTGGCGACATCCATCGCTAGAAAACATAATATATGCATTCAAATCCTGTTCATCCATAGTGCGAGTTTTGATCCTTGAAGAAAAACTTGTTGTCTGTAGTTTTTCAGTTTATTTGATGTTAAAATGCTAGTACTTACGGACAGTCTTCCATCCATCATCAGGCATGTGTTTTTTTTCCTATAAAATCAAAAATGATATATATATATAATTAAATTACTACATATATATATATATATATATAATTAAATTCGTGGCTTTTAGCTTCCATTTTTGAAACATGGTTAGAACTGTGTAGCGGAAAAAAACATATTTTAAATCAATTAATTTATAATATTAATGCTCTGTAAATTTACATTGAGTACTATTTTGTAAAAATAAAAATATCTATAAGAACACCGAAGTATATATCTTACTGTTCTTTCTTTTTTATTTAAATATATATATACATATATATATATATATATATATATATATATATATATATATATATATATATATATATATATATAGTTTTAAAATACACGAAAGCGTTTTTACCTTCAGGATCCCTTTTGGCCAACGGAAGGAAAACATTGGCGTAATTTTATGACGAGACACGGAAAATGACAATTCACGCAGTAAATGAAAAAGCGACGCGATGGTTGCGGGAGTTACGGACATTTTTTTCCTTTCCCGGGTGTACGTGCTCGGGTCCCTACCTTAAAAAAAACCTTGTGTCACAACTCGTCCTACTGGGGAGACAGAGTAAATACCTATTTCGATTTCTCGAATATTCAGTTTTATTCAGTTTTCTTGCGAATATTTTTTGGAATGCATCATTGGTAATCGCAATAGGTCTTCGTATTTTTATCCGCGGATACTCTGATTAATTTAATAAATATTCACCATCAGATTAAAGGCGTCGAAATGGATATACATTGGGTTAAAAAAACAATATTTGTTGTAAAAATTAAAGTCTTTTTTTTTCTTTTCTTATTCATTATTGGCTTGCAGACACATTGATATTTATGCGTGGGTAGAGGTGGGTGTCTCTTAATATGACTTTGATTGACAGAGCCATTGGCTTGGAAATGAGAGCGTC